CGCTAGCTGCGTTTCAGTGATCGCCGATCGAGATTTCATTTATTATTTTACATTATTTGGATAAAGAAAAGTTACGCAAATTCAACATCGATATGATGCTGATAGAAATCTGGATTAATTTGTGATCAACTCTGTTTATTTTGTTTCCTAATTAAGTATGGAAATTATAATTGACAGCACCGACAAATGAATATATACACAAACAAATGTTGGGTTATGGTTAAAACAATTCAAGTTTTTGTATTGAATTTTCGGTTTAGAATTTATCTTTTCCTTTTCAGTAGGCGTTTTTGCACATTATCTTTTCTGTGAGAATTTATCGTAATAGATACGGATCTGAATAAGCGACTGGAACACGGCTGTTTGTCAAAAGCATACGATTTCGAACTAGCGTAAATGTACATTTGCTAAATGCGGTAGCATGAACGCTCTTCGAAAACATATGTTCGAAAGTGCTAAATGTTGCATTTTAAATGCAGCAAAAACGCTGCATTAGCTTACTTAATATATGTATGTAACAGTAAAACAATGCAGAGAGTGTTAACTCTCCTGAAGTCTTAACATAAATATGTTATCTTAATGTTAATAAGTAGTGTATGTTAATTGAGTATGTTAATATGTTTATTGAAATATGTATGTAAGTACATATGTATGTTATATATATGTGCTTACATATGTATGAATACATGTATGTACTTAACAATATGACAATATACCAACGGTGGAGCCAAATGCGGCTCTTTGCTTAGCAAAGTACGGCTCTTTTTACTTTATCTTTGCTTAGAACATTTTGGCTCTTTAAACAAGCTTTTATTTCAATTTATTCTCTCAATCTTGCTTTTATTTAACATAGCCATCCCGCGGAAATTTCCTATCGATTTTAAACTAACTTCCCGACAAGGTAAAAACTTCACATTTTCAGCATAGTTCCAATCACGATGACAATGCAATTTAAAATGTAAATGAATTCCCTATATGGTCATGGGCGTCGCTACGTAGGGGCAGGGGGGAGGCTCGAGCCGACTCAATCTCCAGTAAAAAATGTCCAACAGCGAAATTCCGGCGAAATGTTATCTGTTATCTCACAATAGAAAAATATCCAAAATAGTACGCGAACAGAAAATTTGCAGAAACTTGCAAATCAGACGAACAGCTGATAGAAATATTGTTTACATTCAAAAGTATACAATTGAAAACGTAAGAAAACAAATATCGATGTCTTATCCTAACACAGTTCACTGACTAAACGAATAATTACTTACTTCTTATAAGTTTAATTATTCGCATTTTACTATTTTAACTTCCAAACCATCAAATTCAATGTAGGGAATTGCGTAAATTCCAACCAGCAGTTTTTGATCAGCTGTTTTCTTGTAGGCAAATTGCTGTTGGCAAAAATTTTTCCAGCTGAAACTATCAGACTTCCCTCAAGTGAAATGTCATTTTACTCTCTCAATTTCCCTACTTTGCAAGTTTATTGCGTACGCGAACACAATAAGCTGATAATTTTTATAATATTCAATAATTAACAGGTACGCGAAAGCAACTAATTGGGAGCGGTATTTTTACTTCACGAATTTCATTGTAGAGTACAAAGACTCACAGTTATACGTTGTACCAAAAACATCAACTTTTCTTCTTTTGCTTTTCTTAAAAAGGAGTATTTCGGACATTGTAAATGCATCCTCAATTATGTAACATAAAAAAGCGTTTATGAAGTATGCCAACGTACATTTAAATAATTTCAAATCGGCAAATCTTTCTTCAAAATCTGCTTTTAAATCATGTGCAATATTTTCTCTAGCCATGGATCTAGCTGAGATCCCTTTCTTTTTTAAACACCTAGGATATCACTGACCATTAAAAACGACCCTGAATGACCGCAAACCTCAAAGCTTTACACATTTTTGTATGTGATTTTTAAAATGAACGATCCAAAATTAGCCGGTATACATATTTAAAATTTTTTAGAACCAGTGGTTGAATTTTTGTACTGAAACGGTTAACCCTAAAAGTATAATCTACGTCTGCGAGGCGCATACGGAATGGGTCTTTTTTTAATTTTAACACAAAATTTACTTTTTGTTTTGTTGTTTTAAATAAATGTGGCTATACTTTTTATTAATAAAACTATGTTTTATTATTAGTCAAACTAACAACTTCAATATTCTTTAAAAAAATAAGACAGGACTAAGTATATTTTAGCTCACAGGTTATCTTTTAAGTACATAAGCCTCTACGGCGTATGTTAAGGCTTTACGTTACTCCCAAGTAGATTAGGCTTCTAGGGTTAAGAAAGCTTTAGTTTGAAAGTGTGATATTAAATGCTTTTCACCATAAACGGCGCCAATTTTCAATGATTATTGCGTTTCAGATTAAGACTAATACCAGATATTGTGAAAGTTTGGACTATACCTTAAAGATGACGGTTTTCTCATGGCCCACTGCACGAAGCTTAGAGTAGAGTAATGTCTTTTAAGAACTTGAAAATTATCGTGGGTTATCAGGTGTCTAGCAATACCAAGATTAACTGTTGTCTTTCACGAAGTACTTTAAATAAATTTTGAGCTAAGTACTTACCCGTATTTCGGGGGTTACTAATAGTTTTAATAAATTGTTAGTTTAATTTCCTATAAAATTTACCTTTAGGTTTATGCATTTTAAGAATACATCGAAAATTTGTTTTAGAGAATCAATGTGAAATAATTGCAGAAACGATTAACCGGTTTGCTGAGCAACCGAGACATCTGATTTTTAAATAATTTTGGTAAAACAAATCGGCAAATACATATCGTCTCCCGCATGCCGGAAACATGAATGTGTAAAGCTGAAAATTTTGGGATTTTTTTATATGCCGAGAACTCTTTCTTTTTTAAACACCTAGGATATCACTGACCATTAAAAAGGACCCTGAATGACCGCAAACCTCAAAGCATTACACATTTTTGTATGTGATTTTTAAAATGAGCGATCTAAAATTAGCCAGTATACATATTTAAAATTTTTTAGAACCAGTGGTTGAATTTTTGTACTGAAAGGGTTAACCCTAAAATATAATCTACGTCTGCGAGACGTATACGGAATGGGTCTTTTTTTAATTTTGACACAAAATTTACTTTTTATTTTGTTGTTTTAAATAAATGTGGTTATAGTTTTTATTAGAAAACTATGTTTTATTATTAGTCAAACTCACAACTTCAATATTCTTTAAAAAAAATAAGACAGGACTAAGTATATTTTAGCTCACAGGTTATCTTTTAAGTACATAAGCCTCTACGGCGTATGTTAAGGCTTTACGTTACTCCCAAATAGGTTAGGCTTCTAGGGTTAAGAAAGCTTTAGTTTGAAAGTGTGATATTAAATGCTTTTCACCATAAAGGGCGCCAATTTTCAATGATTATTGCGTTTCAGATTAAGACTAATACCAGATATTGTGAAAAGTTGGACAATCCTTAAAGATGACAGTTTTCTCATGGCCCACTGTTGTCTTTCACGAAGTTCTTTAAATAAATAACATGCTGTCAAAGTGAGAGGATGTAAAAGTTCGAGCTCAGTTAAATAAATTCAATTAAAGGTGTATAAAACCCGCTAAAATATTTAAAACTATAAAAACTAAAATAAATAAGTGAACTTGTTTAAAAAGTAAATTGTGCTTTTGATTTTGATCATAGCAAACAAACGCATAAAACATACATAAATTTTGTCTATAATTAGTATTGCGAAACAAAGTTGAAAATGCCACCAAAAACAAGAACAAATAAAAAGCATAACAACAAAGAGCGTCTCTCAACATCGAGCGACACAAGCGACAATGAATCTTCTTCAGTGAACTTAACGGGGATTATTGACAATTTAAACAAAGAGTTTAAAGTGCAAGAGCGAGCGATGAAGAAAATAAGAGAATCGCAAGAACACATTAGTGATAGCTTTGATGCGCTCAAAAAAGAGATCGATCGCTTAACAGAAGAAAACAAACAAATAAAAAAAGAGTTGAAGGAACTTAAAACAAACGGCGAAGGTGTCAAAATCAAAATGAAAACATTAGAACGAAATGTAATGGAAATAAAACAAGAAAGAAATAAAAACAACATAATAATAACTAATATACCACAAATAAAAGATGTGAATTTGAAGTCTGTAGTAATGGAAATTGCTGCACAAGTTAATGCAAATATTAATATTGATAGCATCGAGGATGTATATCAAAATGAAAATAAAAAATTTAAAACACACCCATTAATCGTCAAAATGAGCAGTAATGAGTTGAAAGCAAAATGCTTTGAGTTTAGGAAGAAAGGTTCGCATATAGATTTGAAGAAAATACTTCCAAACGTAGACATGAAGGGGAAAAATATAAACTTCCATCAGCTGATGGAAAAAGAACTGAGCGATTTGATGAAAAAGGCTAAAAATGCAGCATATAAAAAGAGCTACAAATACGTGTGGGTAAAGGATGCAAAAATACTTGTAAGAAAAGATGATGACACCCCGGTGATACAAATTATGGAGCTAGAAGATTTAAAAAAGCTAGATTAATTAATCTAAATACATTTAAGTACATATATTTTAGTTATCCATGGATGTAAATAACTTAATAAACAATGCAGCATCTAATGTTGAGGTGAAGCACAATGTAAACAAATTAATTTTCAAAAACAATAATAAATATATAAATATTTTGTACTTAAATATACAGAGTATGAGAAATAAGATGGATGAGTTAGATATGATAATCCATCAGAATGCAACCGAGGGTAAAATCATTCATGTAATTGCAGTAAGCGAAATCTGGATTTATGAAAATGAGAATAGGTATTTCAATCTGAGAGATTATAATGCTTATTTTGCAAACCGTTCCTCAAATAGAGCAGGTGGATGTGCGATTTTTGTGCACAAAACGATCCCATCTTCTCTAGTAAGTAAAATAGAATATGAAGGAAGTAGCTTCTTGACTGTAAAGTTAATGAAAGCCAATATGTGCATCTCGTGTGTTTATAGATTCTGTGCATCCGATGTTGGTTCATTCATTGATAAATTAGAAACTGATATTTTAAAATACAAGAGATCTATCATACTTGGAGATTTCAACTTAAACTTATTAAACTCAAACATGGAAGTTATTGATTACGTAGGTACAGTACTAAACAAAGGATTTCTCTTTCTAAATAATTTAAACAAAGAAATATACTACACTAGAAGAGGAAATGATTACAAAACTATCATTGATCATGTTCTAACCGATTTAGTTGAATACACATATACTTTATCGTTAGATGATAATGATATATCTGATCATAGACTCTAGCTTTAACAGTTAATAACAATATACAGAATATTGAGCATTTAAAAAACGAAATACAAGTTTTTGATTATTCCCGTTTTGATGAAAACAAATACATGAATAATATACTTAACCAATCGAACTTTTCCGAATTTCATACACAACTATGTGCTAGTATTGAAGATTGCACCAAACGTATTAAAAAAATAAACAAAAATGTCAAGAAGCCGTGGATGAATGACGAAATCTTATCTTTAATTAGAGAGAAAAATAAATTTTATAAATTGAAAAGGAAATATATCAACAACTTGTACTTTGAAAACAAATATAGAAATTTCAAGATAAGGTTGAGAAATAAAATTAACAATGCACGAAAAGAGTTTTATGGGAGTCGAATCGAAGAAAACATTGGGTCTAGCACAAAAACGTGGAAAGTCTTAAATCAGCTGGTATATGGGCAAAATAATACCAATTTTTCAAATATTGCAAAAATAGTAGATAACGATAACGAAGTTACAAATCCTGTTGAGATAGCTGAAGTTTTCAATGATTATTTCATAAACATTATAGATACGCCAGACCACTTTCAGTACTCCCCTGAGCCGGTAACTAGACTCTTACATCCATTTGTTTTGGATCAGTGCGACACTGAGGAAGTAAGACATGCTATAAGCAGCCTTAATCCAAAGTCGGCCAATGGTCCAGATGGAATTTCTGCCAAACTAATACAGAAATATAAAGCGGAACTATCTGGCCCGCTATCATATTTTATTAATGAGTGCTTTAGTAGCGGACAATATCCAGAGGTATTAAAAATTGGTTCAGTTGTCCCAATCCACAAAAGCGGAAGTAAAGAGGTTTGTACAAATTATAGACCTATAACAAAACTAAGTACGGTTGATAAGGTGTTTGAAAGCATTCTTTTAAACCGATTAAAAACATTTATTAAGGATATAATTAGCGATAATCAGTTTGGTTTTACTGAAAACTCCAGCACTATGTCTGCCTGTATCAGTTGCACAGAATTTTTGTATGAAAACTTAGACAAAAAGAAATATGTTGCTATGCTGGCAATCGACCTAAGTAAAGCCTTTGACTCAGTTAATATTCACATTATGTTACAAAAACTCAGGGAGTTGGGAGTAACTGGCACTGCTATAAAACTTTTTGAAAGCTTTTTAATCGACAGAAAGCAATTTGTTCAAATTAAAGAATTTAAGAGCTCAATTAAAACCATTAAAACTGGTGTTCCTCAAGGATCTAAATTAGCAGCTACATTATTTTTAATATACATAAATAATATATTTAAACTAGAATTGAAAGGAACACCACAGTTTTATGCTGATGATGGAACCTTTTTGTATGTGACTGACACTCTTGAAGAACTTTTAACAAATATCAAGAGGATCTAAAGATAATTTCTGGATGGTTTGAAAGAAATTTGTTGAAAATGAATCTCTCGAAAACTAACTTTATTCTATTTAATAATTATAAAAACATTCCATCTATGAGCGATCTGGATGGAATACATGTAGATGGTAGCCTTATTTCAAGAGTTGAAACTTTAAAATACTTAGGCATATGGTTTGATGCTAATCTTAATTGGCGAGAACATATACACAGGCTTAAGATGAAATTGATACCTTTAAACTTTGTAATTTATAGAAATCGGAAATTGATTCCTAAAAAACAACTATGGCTTCTATATAATTCTCTTTTCATGTCACATATTAATTACTTAAATCCAATATGGAATGTCTGCATGGAACAACTTATGAATGAGATACAAAGAATACAAAATAAAATAATTAAAAACATTTTGAATTTGCCACGAACGACATCCAGTGTGCTTTTGTATCATGATAAGTTGAATATTCGCAAATATTCCATATTACAAACCTTAATCACATTTTATAAAATCAAAAATAATTTAATTAAACATAATCTGACCATATCAGAAGAGCCAACTCCGGAATATGCACTTAGAGTCAGAACAAATATTAAACCACGTATATTTAGAACTGAAAGGTGTGCTAAATCTTTAAGACACTATGGTGTAAAATTATTTAATAAACTTCCAGAGGAAGTTAAAAATGCAAGAAACTTGCAATGTTTAAAAACTGAAGTCAGACAGCTACTTCTTGCAGATTTCAACTTTAACAGTCAGGTGTGAGATTTTACTTTTATAAACTTTTTTATTTTGTTCTATTTTTTACTTTTTACTTTTACTTTTATCATTTTATATTATTATTATGAATAATTTCCATATCACTTTTATTTATTTATTTTTTTTTTTATTATACTGTTCTCCTCACTTTGTAACATTATATAATTGACGGCATGATGTAATTATATAGAAATAAGCTATATTCTCGTACAAAAACATTGTATTTTTTTTTAGAAAATCTGTTC